GGACGTGCAACAATGAACTCACTTAAGATAATTATTCACTAGCATATAAAAACATTTACAAGTGAGAAGTACTCACTTCACTTTACCCACTTATGAAAGCAAATAAATAATGTTGACTAAGCAGGATGTAAGCATAGGGCATGTACAACACAACCACCACAGTCTCAGAGTTGTAAAATAAGTAATCAAGTAATAACTTCTATCATAACTCAATAAAAGTTTTTTTAATTTACCTATTACTTAGGCAAAGTATTAAATTCAGAAAATACTAACAAGATGATAAAATAACTTTGTTTTTATAAAATTTCAGTTTATAATTGCATAAAACTGTTATACCCTAGTGAAGATTAAATTACGAGTAACGTCTGAATCCTAATAATACACTAATATTATCTATATTTCCTTATGATATAACTATTCAGTAATTTAATTATGTATGTCTTTATTCTCCTTATTATAAGGTTCATTTTGATCTATAAATTATTATTATGCGATTTACTATTCTTAAGTTATGTTCAGTTTATTAATTACTGTCTTCCAAGTTCAAAGACACTTTTGTCTTTATTTTGCAGAAATGGTATTTCATATTCTATAGTGCGATGCGGTCTGTTTGGCTGGTATATAAACCAAGTATGTCTGGAGTAAATAGCGGAAGCTGTTATTGGTGTTCTGAACTCAACTGAACGGGCTAGGCTAGCAAAGGACCGATAAGGGCACTAGGCTGATCATATAGGTCAAACGTCATTGGTTTAGTACAGTACAAGAGTGAATAAGTCGTATTCAATTGACGAATAAATTACGTGACAACTAGCCGGTATTAAAGCCACAAAAAAACTATTAAAGACATTACAAAAAAAATAATATTTGTAATATCCCAATAAGTAGAAAAATAAGGTTTTCTGATGTTTTGTGACTCAATGTAAGCCCATTTTTCAAGGAATAAACAAACAAATTAAATTAACCCAAGTTCAAATTATGGTCATTGCATACTGCGAGACTTCCGGGCAGTATAACAGCCCACACACACAAAATGATGAACTGTCTATTTATGGAAAATACTTTTCTTGCTCTGAATAACAATCTAATGACTCACATTATTATTATTATTATTATTATTATTATTATTATTATTATTATTATTATTATTATTTACTACGTCATTATTCACCCCTCCTTTATTCCCACTCTGTTTATACTTAATTTTTCGACTTATACAGCAGCTCGTCTATGGTGGAAATTCAACTCTATCTAGACGCTCTCGAGTCACTGTCCAGTTGAAAATTGTATGTTACCACCGATTACGATAACTGAAGTAGTTTTTCTGAAACCACGTGCAACATTCAAAATAGTTGACATCAATGTTCACACACTTATGCAGGTCGGACAACAGATAATGTTGGCTATGTCTTTGGAAAGTCTTAATATTGATGTTTGCTGTCTATCCGAGACCCGTATTCAAGACTCTGGCGAAGTACTACAAATTCGATCTCCATCTGTCGCTTCGAAAAGCTTGTTTTACGTGCGTTTATCCGGGAACCCTGTGGCATATTCGTCTGGTTTTGCTGGCGTTGGTGTCGCACTAAGCGCTAGAGCTGAGGTAGAACTGATTGATTGGATCCCCATTAACAGTCGGCTATGTGCTGTTAGATTAGAAAGTTCCATCAAAGTGAGAAATCGGCGTGAGAAACAATGTCTTTTCGTCATCTCTGCCTATGCCCCGACAGATTGCAGCCCGGATGCAATCAAGGATGAGTTTTACCACCAGTTATCTGTTCTTCTCCAGAAAGTGCGTTCGACAGATATTGTAGTACTAGCCGGAGACTTGAATGCTCAGGTCGGGCGTCTAGGCACAGAAGAGAGTCGTTTAGGTGGCCGATGGGGACTCGTTGGTCGCAGGTCAGATAACGGGGACCGTCTACTGCAACTTTGCACAGACCACAACCTGTTTCTGGCTAGCACTAACTTTCGGCACAGTCACCGCCGATGTGCCACCTGGCGTCCTCCGTCTGCATCTCAAGCCTGGACTCAGATTGATCACATCGCGATCAGCTACCGCTGGCGTGGTTGTGTACAAGACTGCCGCTCCTTTTGGAGTACCTATCTGGACTCTGACCATGCCTTGGTCTGCGCCAATCTTACCTTACTTTCCAGTGGAAAACGTAGTGACCGCCATCAAACGATTGATATTAGCAAGCTGCTTGCAACTTCTGTTGCAAGTAAGTATCGAACCGAGATAGCTTCTAGGCTAGCTACCATTCCACCGAAAAGTATAGATGAGCATTGGTTGCAATTGCATGACGCCATGAAAATGGCGAGTAAATCCGCTAGCAGCTTCGCGAAACGTCCCGCTTTTAAGCACTGAGTTTCTTCTGGTTCCTCACAACTCATCGAAGCCCGTCGGTCTACTCCGAGTGCCTGTGAGTTTGACCACAAACGAAGGATGTTACGAAATGAAATCGGGCAAAGCTTGCGTAAGGACCAAGAAACCTGGTGGTCGGAGCATGCTTTTGAGCTGGAAGCAGCAGCTGAATCTGGTAATTACCGGAAGATATTCCAACTCATCCGAGCCACTGGCAGCAAGAAGTCTGGTGTGAGCGAAACAATCTGTGAGGATGACGTAACGCCAATCACTAACATCCATCGACGTATTGGACGATGAACAGAATTTTTCGAAGGGGAGTTCAACTGGCCTGCTGCTACGGTAGCATTGGTCAGACCGTCCTACCCTCCATGGCCGGTGTCGACTGATCCACCAATAGAGGCGGAAGTCCGCAAGGAACTCCAACTCTTGAAGTGCTACAAATCCTCTGGCCCAGATGACTTACCTCCGGCTCTTTTTAAAGATGGTGGTGACATTCTGACTAAGGAACTGACGACGTTGTTTACAAAGGTGTGGGAGCTCGAGAGTGTACCAACGTCATGGAATGAGTCGATAGTTGTCCCTATCTTTAAAAAGGGTTCACGTCGTTCCTGCAACAACTATCGGGGGATAAGTCTACTTCCGATTGCGTCCAAGCTATTGGATTCCGTCATACTTCGTAGGTTGTTCAAAACCCGAGAAAGATTGACTCGCGAGGAGCAGGCTGGGTTTCGTTCTGGTCGAGGATGTATTGATCATATCTTCACCCTCCGCCAAATGTTAGAACACCGTCATACTTATCACAGGTCAACAATCGTAGTGTTTCTTGACATCAGGGCTGCCTTCGATTCGTTGGATAGGACTGTTCTCTGGGATTGTCTATTGAAGAAGGGTGTGCCTGAGAAGTTTATGAACATCCTAAAAGCCCTATATACGAACACCTCAGGCAGAGTGAGGGCATACAACCACCTTTCTCCATTGTTCTATTCGGGCAGTGGGGTTAGGCAGGGTTGCCCAATCTCACCATTCCTCTTCAACCTTGCCATCGATGACATTCTGGAAACAGCTCTGATGGGTGCAAGTAATGATGGTGTGGATCTTTAGCCTGAGAGTGTGGATAATATTGTCTATCTCTGCGATGATATCCAAGCTATGCAGTCCGCATTTAATCAATTGGCAGTTAGTGTCTGTAGGTATAGCATGTGGTTTACACCTTCGAAGTGCAAAGTACTTCAACAAGACTAGTAGCAATCTCTGTGTTTGATCATCGCTGTCTCCGAAGGATTGCTGACATCCAGTGGAAATACCATATTAGTAATGCAGAGGTTTGGCATCGTGCATTAGGGCGCAGAGACGATAATTCAATTCTTGTCACCATCTTCAAACATCGATTTCGGTGGCTCGGACATGTTCTACGAATGTCGTCCCAGAGAATTCCACGTCGTGCATTATTTACCGTCACTGGGACTGGTTGGAAAAGGCGGAGAGGTGGTCAGTGTATGACATGATGTCGTGGTATGAAAGAAAGCTGCAAAGGACTGGTTTGAGTTGGTCCTTCACGACTCCTTGGTTGGGGTTTGAGAGACGGTACTACACAGTGGCTAGAGAAGTTGTCAGATATGGCTCAGAATAGAGGCCAGTGGCGATCCTGCTCTATCCTTCTTTTACTTTCTGCATAAAAAGTGGTTGCTTCTTCCTTAACTGAAAAATCTCTTCTGATTGTACCTTTTTGTTTCTCCCATTATTACTATTATTATTCTTATTACACTACCTTACACTAATCTGTTTGCTATTGTTCTTTTTTTCTACGCTCCTCACCTTTTTGCCTTCTCTTCAAATTCACATTGTTTTGTGTGGCGCATACATATTTGGTGCCCTCTTGTACCAATATTTATGTGTTCAAATAGTAAAATAAAATAATGGTACTTTGAAGAAGTGGTTTACATGAAGTCATGAAGCGTCAGAAATATAATTTTTCTACTCACTTGGACATTATAAATATATAATTTTTTTTATTTATAACCGTTATGTTCCGACAGGAATAATGAATGGTAACTTTTGGGATCTATTTATGGACCAATACTAGACGTATATTTCTATTGTATAATTATTAAGTGACTAAACTATGCATAATATATTCCTCTTACTATAAGCTTTAGTTTGACCCATAAACTATTATTATACATTTTACCATTCTTGAGTTATACCCAGTATATTACTTACTACCTCCCTCATTCACAGCCACATTTGGCTAATTCTTGTACAAATGTTGTTTCATGTTTTATTGGTACGATATGGTCTGTCTGATTGGTATATAAACCGGGTATGTTTGAAATAGATTATTCATATCTCAGAGGTTCGGATTCGTGTTCTGGACTTAACTGGCTGGGTTAGGCAAGAAGTAGGACTAAAAAGGACTCTAAACAGCTCATACGGGTTTACGCGTCATTGACCTGATCGATAAGTCACTGCTCTCTCATTGGCGGCACAAGTTATAACAATAACAAACTACTCAATGCTCAATTTATTTGAAATTATCAATTCAAACCTTGGTAATGATACTCATTAAAGACATCATGCAAAAAAAACAAAGCATTTACTTAATGGATATATACGTTTTTTAATAATTTCGGTAAGATTATTAACTATCATTCATAATGATATAAGTCATTGGTTTATTCAACTAGTTAATTAATGAAAAAAGAGTATGTAGTTGAAACTGAAATGCTGACTCGTAATAATCAAACAAAATTTTGTATAAATCGAATTAATATCGTGTAATACTTAAGTTTAGTTTAATCACTATCGAAATGTTTTTTTCTAAAATTTACAATTACAATAAATCTTAATGTTTATTTGATATTTCTTAAAAATAGTAAAAACGTTTTTGTATTTCTTATGTTTACTCACAGCTAAAATTACAAACAATGATGGTAATAGTCACAGTGATTTTACATTTTATCTTCATTTAATGGAAAAAAAGACTTACATTATAGTAAATTGAATTTGGTTGTTTAATTACAGCACCAAATGATTTTCCTAATGGTGTTGTATCAAATAAAATTTTCGGCACAAAACTGAATTGTTCATTGAAAAAATATGGAGCAACTGTTCCGGGAGAAACTTTTTGTCGCTAAATGGTATTTAGAGAAAAGAAAACATAACTTTTCTTAAAAAAAACCCTGTAAGAATTAGGACGAATACATAATACTTGTAAAATATCACAATAACATTAACGTAAATAAGGATAATTTGTGCAATTTGTTGACATTATATGCTTTATTTCACCGACTAATCTTAATTAAACAACTGTTGAAGATTAGGGAGTACTTAACAAACTATTTTACTATAGCATGAGACCAATATACGATGAAACAGGTTTACAGGGATTGTTGGTTTAGTGATAGTTGTCCGTGGTCTACAACTATCACGCAGTACTATAAATCGAAAGAAAATGCAAGTGAATGTCATTCAATTCGTTGAATCAGCCTATGAAAATAGTTAGTTAGATGTATTTATTTATTGACGTTTTAATAACTTGATATTTTCATTCTTAATTATTCTTAATAATTTATTATTGCTGGAGATTTTATTTTCATTGTATGTGAGCAAAATCTTTAATTTTACAGACAAAAGCAAGATGCTTTCTTCTTATATAGGTCATGATGGAATTTTAAAATTCCATCCTTTGATTAAATTATAAGTTATCTATCCAAAACTATCAATTATCAGTCACTTTAATGCATTTTATTAAGTAGCAATTTCTCATGAAAAATTGACAAAACCGAGATTTTTTATAATTTATTCTTATTTTGAAGTAAACGAGGACTTAGGTGGCGGAAACTAACTTACTATTTTAATGCAAAACTAAAAGATGACTTCGTAAAACTATATATTAAATACAACCTTTGCACATCTTCCATCATTTGTCTCTTACAAACTTCGTCTTTCCTCCATTCTTGTTGTTATTAAAATTACTCTCTGTATACATTCCTATTTCCTTCAATTCAATCTTCTCAATCTTCTACTACCAGGCATTCTAATTCTGATTGATGTTATATGCTTCTTACACTTGTTAACATAGGGAGCACACAACGGAAAGTGATGGCGTCGTATGAACAATAAATACCAATAAAATTTAAGTGATAACACATTTTCACTGGCTTACAAAGCAGATTATTGTTTTAATGTACTCTGTATTTCATCTCATTAGATAAAGAAAATAATTATTCAAGGATTTTTTTGTACAATGAAATTCTGGTTAGCAGTAAATTCCAGGATGTTCGACTTATCATCTGCAAGACTTATCAGCTTGATATATGTGAATCTTTGTGCTGATCTTCACACTGAAATCTTTTAACAAATACTTATCGCTTTAAACTTCAAGTTTACTTGCACGTTTAATAAGCATAAATTCATTTGTAAAATAATATATTTTTCCATAATTTTTATTAAAGGCTGTGTTTGTTCCGTTTTTATTTGGGAACACTGTATTAGAAACTGAAACTGAAATTATAAGTGAGAACGTAGTAAATTAATATTTCAGAACTGCAATTTGTTCACATTTATGAATCATGTCTTATAAAAAAAGTAAGTGATTTAATTGAAAATACACAATTTAACACATACTATTAATAATATCACACGATGACAAGTCATTTTCAAAGTTCATTTCAACTATAAAATCAAATGTTGATTATAGAATATTATCAACTGAATTCACGATTTGATCCAAGCTATACCACTATTAAAAACCCGGAAGCACTGGAAAGCCGTTTCATCCTAGTATCAGCCTCCACGACAGTGGACATCCGCAATTCCGCACGTGGGACTCGAACACACCATGTTCGGTTTCGCGCGCGAACGCTTGACCTCTAGATCACTGAGCAAACATTCAACAGTATTATTGTCTGACTTCAATCGATCACCATACTGATTATGGAATACTTGATAAACATTTTAAGTTTATTTTTGATTAGACTGTGGAGACAGGCATGATAAACTTAGTTTGTAAATAGTTTTTGATATTATTTCCATTTATTTTGTTAATGCTCATAGTTTGTACGTTTACCACAAATGATTGTAAAAGTTGTTTAAGTTCATGACCTTGAACTCAAACTCTCTTCCGTTTTGAACAGCTTATAGCATGACACACTCTGTTAACCGCTCATAAATACTCTGCTACACACACGTCTCTCATTCTTAACTGCCTGTGATTATGATAATTAAACTATAAAAGTATCTATTATCTATATTTGCAGACTAAAACCATATTTCCATTATATACTAAATCTATGCTATATCACTGCAATTACAACAACCATATTGGAATTATTAATTTACTATAATTGTGATTTATGGAACCAAAAGCAGCTCTAACACGCCACCACAATTATCACGTCGGGCTTGCCAGATAACTGTGGTGGACCAAAAATTATATTAGCACAAAAATGGTAATCAAGTTATTACGTCCAAAAGTTAATGTTATACTATATCGATTAAAATTTTTGTACACAAAGAGAAGTTATGTGATGTTACTTAAATCAGCAGGCTTTGGCGTCTTCAAGCTGCTTTTGGTTCCATAAATCACAATTATAGTTAATTAATAATTCCAATATGGTTGTTGTAATTCCAGATTTAGTATATAATGGAAATATGGTTTTAGTCTGCAAATATAGATAATAGATACTTTTATAGTTTAATTATCATAATCACAGGCAGTTAAGAATGAGAGACGTGTGTGTAGCAGAGTATTTATGAGCGGTTAACAGAGTGTGTCATGCTATAAGCTGTTCAAAACGGAAGAGAGTTTGAGTTCAAGGTCATGAACTTAAACAACTTTTACAATCATTTGTGGTAAACGTACAAACTATGAGCATTAACAAAATAAATGGAAATAATATCAAAAACTATTTACAAACTAAGTTTATCATGCCTATCTCCACAATTTAATCAAAATACGATAAAAACTTACTTAATCTCGAAAAGAATTATGTACATTAAAGTAATCCTTATTTTCAGGGATTTTTCATAATTTGCACTTCAATTTGGATTAATCGATTTCTGAATCAATGTTCTATTTACCTCATAACTTATAAATTATATCAACTTATAGTGTAATGAGTTGATTAGTTTGTGTGATCAATTTTTAATGGCTATCATTTATGAATTATTTATTATTACAAGTTATAGGTTAAAATGTTATTACGGTGTACAGTAATTAACTTAGAAACACTTTTTTTGTACTGTGTTTTATAAAGATGAACGGTTTATTTACAACATTAAATCGATAGCTTAGGTTGAGAGCTTCCAAATATTCGATAATAACTAAAGTCCACATTCATATAAATTTCTTTCCACTGAACTTCTATGTACAAAAATCAATTAGTCTAATAAATAATAATTTGAAAACAATAAAATAACTATGATTTCGAAGGAAAGACTTAATGACTGCATACGGAATCTTTATTAATCAAGAAGGATGAAGGAGAATTGTATTTGTATTGTCAATAATCAAAAAGCTGTCCAGTTTGTCAAAATAGCATTTCATGTACAACAAATCAGATATTTTTTCAGGTAGGATAAGTCACAAAACGAATTCAGTTGGAGTAAAACTGACACAACGATTGAAGTTGAAATTGTACTACATGATAATGGATCAGTTGTTCTGACCTTCATACTTTCGAAGCAATACCCGAGGGTCATACATCCGATCTCCAGTGGAGTACGCGCGTACAGTTTGTGAATGTTGACATAATTCACCAGTCCTTACTGGTTTTCAATGGTATTTCAAATAATTACTTGCAAATCTCCACAAAACCTGACTCAAATAAATCAAAAATTTACCAGTGAAGTTATTTAAAACTCAGAAATTTATAAATGGTGCATTTCACTTGATTTTTCAATGTTCCTGAAATGACTGAAAGATGTCAAAATTCGATTGCTTTACTTAATTTGATTTTTGTTCAAGATTACTTCCGTTTTGATTTGATGTGATGATTATTCAATGTAGTTGTTGTTTTGTTTTCTGGTATGATATTTTATTCTGTATAATATGCGATATTCTTGAATTCAATTGACATGAACTATGCTCATTATGCGATTTGTTATAACTCTAAATAACTTTTATATATATGATTTCATCCTAATTATTAATCAAAGTGTGCGTACAATCAATATATAGATGAGTGTATTTTCGACTAGGGTCGTTGTGGTGGTCGTGTTTTGGGGTTAATAAATCTCCACTAATACCAGTCTTTGTGTTTTTTTCGCGTCGTGGGAATTGCGGAGGTCCCTTGTTCCGAATATAAGTGATAAGCGTTTCCGACATAACAATCGGCGACGACCAGATATAACAAGTAGCATTCAATCGACAAGTTATAACAGTTCTAATCATGAAAGCTTCCGGAAACAGATGAGTGGAATTTGTTTCAAATAAAATAAGTACGCATAACATAATAAATTACGTAACAAATATTGAAAACCTTTTTCTAGACAAATAAATTAATGAAAGCTAACATCTTGGTTTGTCTATGAAAGTACTAATTTTTTCAGTAGACTGAATAACATAGTTTTTTCCGTATATTTTAAATGCATTTAAAAAAAGTCATGACTAATAATAATCATTAAAATGAATTAGTTAAAACATACTTTAACTAATGCTTCTGCTAAAAAACTGAATTGATTAACATAAGCAGGAAGTGTAAGTGGACCGTAAATAGTAGATGCACCTTCATATCGTTGAAGCTGTAATTCAAAGCAAAGAAGTAGAGAAACAAATTGATTGGATAAATTATTCATAGTTATCATTTTAATATTAGTAATGATCTCTGTTTAACTTTGAATTTCATGTTAGTTCGAAATTTTCAGAAAAATATATTTGTAATCTTAAACGAACTGGTGCTTCTGGTTTGATTCAATCACATATCGAAGTCATTATAGTTTATTCAATTAATTATTCATTTAGACAAGCGAGCAGTTTAATCGATAGTTTAATAAACAACAAGCATCAAGACCAAAGTAATATTAACTTCTATCAATCGTTGATCAGTCCAAATGATGATGATGACAATTTTACCAATCGAAAGTATACATTGTCAAAAACAAAAAAATTAGCTATAACTATATGCTTTCATATAGTCTTATTAATAAGTTAAGCTGAATAAAGCAACAGTTATTAGCTCATTTGATTTACGAAGCCTTAGGACAGATAAAACTGAAGATAGTTATTTTTTAAGCGTTTGTATTTTCCTGCTGTTGATCTGAAGGATTGCATGTAACTAGTCTCTGCTGGAATGTATAAATCCCGAGAATATAATCAAGATATTGTAGCTTATTCACTAGTTTTAGATAAAAAAGGATTTGCATCTGAAAATTATTATTATTATTATTATTATTATTAATGGCTTTATTCAATATTATATTTTGGTACAATATAGAATTCTCAGCACAGGGTATTTCAACAAGTTACTTACTGAAAAAAAAACGAACAAATAGGCAGTAGCAAATACAAAAAGAAATTTTTTTTAAAAAAAAAAAATTTTTTTTTAAATAAATTTTAAAAAAAGACCAAAAAAAACTGTGCAAACTTTTTAAAATTAAAGACATGTTAAGAATGTAAATTATTAACTAGGTTATTTCTAACAACCTGTTCGTCACATAGTATATTTGCTAGGTAAGGAATTATAGAACTTTTATACTTTTCCTTACGTGCATGGATTTTAATGTAATTAAGTCTCATTCTACTAGAAGATATACAAGGAGAAAGATGTGAATGAAGGGGATGGTTAGTATCTGATATGATAACACCTGCCAGGAGTTTGCATGAATTTAGATGTCTATCCACAACCATATTAATTATGGCCTCGAAAGATTCACCACACACCTTGCTAACTGCCTTCAGCACTCTTCGCAATACAGCAAAGTCTTTTCTCAAAAGCCCGGGAAAAAATAATGGAGAACAGTAAAGAATAATAGGTAAAATGCAAGAATTGACAAATTTTAAGAGTAAACGACGAGTAATCCCAAGAGCATGCAATCTCTTTATGTAGTAGGTCAGACGGAAAACCTTCTTCGATAACGATAAAACGTGGGAAGACCAAGACAGATCAGAGGAAAAGGTGACACCAAGATAATTGACCTTCGACACTGAGTTTATGAAAGAGTCTCCGATGGCACAAGCATTATGGGATCTCAAAATGGTGTTTATATTCCGTTCATGTCTCATGCTAAAGTTAACAGCTTGACATTTAGACGGATTAAGTATGAGACCATTACCAACAGACCAACAATCAATATGAGACAAAAACTCATTCATTTCTACGGGATGTAAAGAGGAAGATATAGGCATACATAAAGTGAGATCATCCGCATACTTCACAAAAGTGTTTTCTGTAGAAGATGGCAGGTCATGCAGAAAAAAAGAGAATAGAAGAGGTGAAAGAACAGCTCCTTGTGGTACACCTTCCTGAGACAGTAGAGACTCCGAACACTTTCCTCCAAACACAGTGTACTGTTCCCTTTCAGAGAGGTAGGAACATAGCCAGTTGGTTATCCAGCTGTCAGTGTTGACGCTGATTAACTTGTTAAGTAAACGTTGTCTTGGTATAGAGTCAAAAGCTGAAGTATAGTCCAGAAAAGCACAACGAACATAGTTCTTACCCTTTTCTAAGTTGAACACTATGTTGTGGTGCAGAACTGCAACAGCATCTAAAGTGCTTCTTTTGCGCCTGTATGCAAACTGGTATGGGTCAGTATGCTCTTTTATCGCAAGCTGAAGTGGAAGTATTAATAATTTTTCCATGGTTTTGAGGAAGGGTGAAGTTATTGCAATAGGTCTAAATTTTACATTCTTATCACCAGATGCTTTCTTGTGTACAGGAATTATCTTCATCTTTCTCCACATTTTCGGTATGAGATTAGATGAGAAGGATCTGTTAAATATTGTTGTGAACGGATGACACAGAACGTCAGCACATTTTTTAAAAAGGATGTTTGGGATACCATCAGGTCCCAAACATCGAGATGAATTAAGCGATCGGAGACATCCTCGTACATCAGTTTCAGTGAAAGTAGGAACACAGCTATTTTTTAAACCCGTGGATAGAGGGAGCATCACATCAGATGACTGACGAACAAAAGACTTATTTAAGTCACTAACATTCAGCTGGTTATCGCTTCTAAACTGTCTGTCGCCTGTAAGTTCTTTAAAGAGTTTCCACATACTTGGAGTGTTTCTGCAAGATAAGAGCTTTTGAGTAAACATGCAGTTGAGACGTCTAATCTCTAGCTTTATCAGACCATTTAGCTTACGAACTTCATTAGAGTTCTTCTCCTTGTACATTCTTTCTTTCATCCTTCTTAGTCGTTTTAGTTGTGTAGATGTAAATCGATCAAAACTTACAAAAATGGTTTCAGTGGGACAGCAAATATCAAAACAGAATTTAAGGTAACAAGTGATAACGTCAGTAGTGTTTTCGAGTGAGTCATCTGTAAATAATTCCCAGTTAGTCGTATGAAACATGCTTTTCAGATTTCGGATATTTTCTTCTGAGTAATTCCTATATTTGACTTTCTTGGTTTGACGTAAGAGTGTACTCTTCTCATGCTTTCCATATACTTTAGGTAGAACACGAATTATACAGTGATCTGAGCTACACAATGGAGCACGTTTACGAGTCGCATATATACCCACATCATTAATGAAGACGAAGTCTAGATAAGCATCCAAACGGGTAGGAAAATCCACTACATTTTGGTGACCCAGTGACGTAAGGAAGCTACAGTCACATGAATTGAAGTCACCACATACGACTGAAAGTGAATCACTGAAGGCAGTAAGAGCAAACTCAGTGAATTCATCAGCAAAATCAGATAGTGCAGATGATGTGCAATCTGGAGTAACGTAGATATTGGTAACATAAACATATTTGTATTTATTTAGATGTTTTGGACGACATCTTAGAGTTAGACAGTCGATAAAGTCATTTGAAAACTTAAAACACACAAACGAAGATCGACACCAGTTTATGTTTACAAACGTAGCTACACCGCCACCAGACCTCTTTTTATTGTTCGATCGATCCTGACGATAAATTTTAAAATCACGTAGTGATACAAGGCAGTCATCATGTAAACCATTCAACCAGGATTCTTGAATTGTGATGACACCACAATTACGATACGTATTTTGACTAAGTAGGAATTGCAGATAGTCCACTTTGTTGATTAGTGACCGGCAGTTAGAATTAAGAAGCTCGGGAATCGACATACGATTAATGTTCATTCTCTTTAACGCATATTGCCAACCACCACGATGTCTTTTATAATACTTTTTCGTAACTTGTGCAGCGAAAGGTCGTAAGCTTTTCATAAAAGCGCCTGAATAGGTTATGCGATTAATGGACATAATTATAAATTAAAACAAATAAAAAAACAGATAACTTGTTGAAATAATCAGATGGCAGAAACAGGTAGCCCAGATATTCAAGCAGGCCGCCGTATAATAATAATATTCAAAACTCAGCTTTCATCTTATTTAGGAATTGTCGGTTAGATGTTAATATTCACACTGAGAAGCAAACCCAGCACATGTCACTGATCAACTACACTGATAAATAGAAAATTTAAATCATCGCAAAAAAAGTCTACACCTATTTTACTAACTGATGGCTATCAGACACTGTAAATCGATGCATAACGAATTGAAATTTGGTAAGAAATGAACTGGTTTTGGATTCCAGTATAAACATCAACACTGATAAGCATGAATAACATGTTGACGAATCTCAAGTGGGATTAAATCCGCATCCCATGATGCACTGCTAGGCGGTATATACGTTTAACAATTAATAATTATGTTCAAAAATAAAAACAATACAATAAACCCTATTTAAAAGAACTAAATTTTCATTATTGTTCAAAATAAGAGAAATTCACTAACATTATTGATTCTCTCTTAATCTCTTTCACAATTATCACATGGACATTTTTTTAAACAAAGAAATATTTTGTCAAAACGTTTGAAGTACGCAGAATTAAATTAACAAAATTAAATGAATTTTTTCTCGTTTAAACAAATGAATAATGATCAATACTTTTGTTTAAATTATACATAATATTCTTAAAAGACTTTACTCATGATTTCAAACTTCGATAAAGGTTACATTGAATGAGAAAACTTATCCCTTTATTATATATTCATATTTCATCAAATTAGTTAGACAAATATGTATTTATAATTTCAAAAAATGTATACAAAATAGAAAACAAATGAACAATTTTCCTTTTCAATGATTGAGATCATGAGTCAATTGAAGCTAGACCACGATGGAAAACCTGGAAGCACTAGACGGTCGTTTCGTACTATTGTGAGACTCCTCAGTAATGTGCATCCAGTGGCTTCAAGAGGCATTTCCTGAAGTTCGAGTGAGAAGTAATGACCAGTGGAGTTTAACCGAGTCTGTTGTGAGATAGTAACTCAGTGAAGAAAATTGTGGGTGTATCGCTCAATTCCGTGGATTGGTTGAAGTTAGACATTGACACCGTTGGATGCCAGCTCAGTGGTCTAGTTAGTCAAGCGCCTAGAGCGAAGCTGATACGTCCTGGGTTCAAATCCCGCGATGTGGAATTGTTGATGCGCACTTCTGAGGAGTCCCAGAATAGAACGAAACGGCCGTCCAGTGCTAACAGGTTTTCTATGGTGGTTTGGCTTTAATTGAATCATGATCTCAACTGATATTAATTTTCTTTTTGTAAAATTATCGTAAAATGGTGTTTATTTTCATTCCAAATTTGTTTATCTATGCAATATTTATACTTGAACATTTTTAAATTATTTTGAAGAATTCTATATTGTAATAAAAAGTAATATAGTTTAACATTTTGTTAAATAATTTATACATGAGTATGAATACAAGTGTATTAAGATAAATTGAAATAATATCTTTATGATTATTTAGGATATTGACACCGTTTTTGTTATCTCCATTTATACTTTACAGATTGTGATCAATTCATGCTATTTCATTGCAAACTGTTATGAATTTATTTCAATTACTGATTTGTCCATTTATTATTTTTTTAATGATAATTATCTCTTTTAGATACCTAAAAAAAGTGCTTTTCTACGACCTCTTTCCAAAAAATAAGAACAACCACTACTACATATAAACCTACTAACAAGTGAACATTACTCATTAGATAATCACTGAAAATGATCTGTCAATAGTTGGATTCATGAGTTGATGTAATGTAGACCACCATTGAAGCCGTGACCAATGGAGTCCAATCCGTATCGGGTGAAGACAGTTATCTACCACAGAAAATGGATGAAGGGTTGCGCAAGATCACGGATCAATTGAAGTTAGACATTAACAGCGTTGGATACTTGCTCGGTCATCTAAAGGTTAAGTGTTCACGCGCAAGATCGAAGGTCCTCGTTTCTAATCCCGAGTACAGGATTCTAGACGCCCACTGCTGACGAGTCCCGTGCTAGGACGAAACAGCCGTCCAGTAGTTTCAGGTTTTCACTGGTGGTCTAGCTTACATCAAATCATGAATTCAACTAATAAAAGTACTACGATTTCCGCAATCCCTCATTCTAATAATGTTAAAAAAATAGTGACAATTTATTGTTTAATATAATCTTTCAAAACAGTCTTAGATTAAAATAAATTATTGAGAAGTAGAAAGACACAAAATATTGAACAATTGATTCATAGCAAATTAGTGAATTATTATTACTTGATATTCTTCAGGAGTTGCAATATAACTCGAATAAACATTTGACAGACCAGAAAGAATTACTTCATATTGTGTAGTTGAACTTGGATCATTCTGTTTAGAAGCATTATTAGCAGCCTAAATGGGAATCCAGTCAAAAAAAGAAAGAAGCGATTTAAAGTTACAAGTATAATATCCATATAAATCTGAAAGTTCAAAAAACGACGAGCATATTGTTAACACGATAAGCCTTGATTAAGTTTTCTATCAACGATGTGAAAAATAACGATTGAGTTAGTCATTTATTTAATGGCATATAACGGTCAATTATAAACAACTTATAGCCTAACACACAAACATGCATTATCTCATATTTACTTATTACTTGAGATGAAATTAAAAAGATAAGTAAAAAAGGAGTGGAAATAATTTAGTAACTGAAAGATAGAATAACAAGGTTCGCAAAAAACTACTTAAACTCAAGGTTTAAATTAACGAATGACGTGAATGCTTGTTTTTAAGTCACTGTGACCGATTTTGCGTCATATAACTCAACATTACTATGTTCAGACTTATAGCATTTAAGAGTTAGTCAAAGTTTAATATATGAGCTACAAAACTAGTGTACTATTAAAAAGTATTTGCTAATATTACAACAATCACTATTTGATGTAATTCTCAGCATCGACACTTTAATAGAGTTTTAAAACTTATAATGTATGATAATCAAACGAAGACATAAAAAAGAAATCCATAAACATCTTAATTTAAAATATGTGGTATTATTTACAGCAACATATATACAGTAGAACAATGTGATAATTCCTGATGATGCAACAATTATATCTATCACTCCTAGTACAATAATCTCATCATTCAAATAAGGTCGAAATGGAAGAGAATTCATAAATAACAGTAGAAAATTAACATTCAGGAAATTGGTACAAATCTATCATAAGTGAATAAATAATAATTTTAAATGTTAGTATGTGACTAGAAGTAATACCAAGACCACGAATTTCTTATTTGAAACTAGTTAGTCAGTATGTAAACGAGTAATTGTCACCAACACTATCCACTTGATACTTATTCATACAAAGGAACAGTCTACATTTAGAATAACAAAATCTCATACCATCAATCACTAAAACTTAAGTAATTTTAAGTTGACCTATTACATCTATATTAGACTATTTCGAATGTTTTTCGAGAGTTATTGACAGCAACTCATAGTTATTGTGTCAGATTATTTCAAAATACAACGTCTGTTAATGTTGTATAAAAGATGTTAAATGTATTAAATCATCACCAATACGAAGAAAAACAACCAACTACACCAATAAAAATCTGAACTTCTCAATCTGTACGAAAACAGTTGAGTGGAAATATTGCGAGAAACTTCATACCATTTAAACTTTGTTATTTTGTTTATGAAATAGGCAGATCTTTGTTAAATAGAAATGATGATTTCATTACATTAAGACATCAATGTATCGTATTACATATGGCAACAATCAGACCTTATGTTTTAGAAACAATTTTAACGTTGATCAACTGTTTTATTCATAAAAAATTTATAAGATGAACATGGGAAAAGTATATCTATTTGTATATATTTAGTTTTTTGTACATCCTATCCTTATTATTCAATGTTGTAAAATATAACAAGTATTAGAAAGGAGTACAAATGTAACTCAGAATTTTGTTTGTATTATTAGTTAACTCATCTAAAATTATAAGTAATTGTAAACTGTTTACAAGGATTTAGTCAGTGATTATTTATGTCAACTACTACTGTTTAGTTCATTGTTTTCAAATCTAACGATTAATCTATAATTCAAGTATTTAGATTTAGTTGTTCATCACTGGTTGGATCGGTTGTAGATTTATTAAGAATCCATACTGAAATATTTATCTATAGTCTTGTCCTTTATCCTTACGTCAAATAATTGCTGTCTTTTTTTAGATATACAACAATAAACGGACTGTTTTTCCACAGTTGAAACAAGTGGGCATTGCAGCGTTTCAAGGCAACATCCACTACACAGTAGTCAGCAATCATGAGATTCGTATTTTAAATTGCAAATACATCACATAGAAATATAACGGCGAGACTATAATTTATGGACAAACCAATCAGATTTACGATAACACCTATCCATTTGGTTAAATAGAGTTTTGGCATTATAACTGATGTCAGTTCGTGATAAAACCCTATATCTGATTATTAACTCTAACCATCAACTGTAAATATTAATCCTAATTCCTCATGCTGGTTTATAACCTTCATTTAGCCGTAGTATGTAGGTGGACACTCTCAAGGTCTTGGAGTTGCTCAAACGTCGTCCATAAATTAAAGTCTCACCGTTTGTTCTACTTCATTGCCTGACCATGACTTTACTTTTGTAGAAATCGTGTTCTTCAATAATGACATAATATTAGCCGTAAAGTATTTGGACTGTTTCAAAATATTTATTCATTTATTTCGTTACAAAATATAGGTGAAGTAAATACTACCAACTAAACGAATAAGCATAATTTCCATCGTCCAGTTACAAACGTAAATCCACAACCTACATTTATTTGATAAATTCCAAGTCTATACACTCAGCCATATAAATAACATTTTTTTAAAATCACTGTATTAAATTGAAAAAAATTTCTCAAGTTTATTGAAATTAGTCACATTTTCAAGTTTATAGAAACAATTTCAATATAATTAATCTTAAATCCGAAAAGCCAAATTAATAAAAGCTCTATATTATTAAGCATTCACCAAAATTTCTTAATCATGATTTTATTAAGTTATCATTAAATTTTGAAATTCTAATGGGACTGCATCTCCTAATGTTGTTTCACTGTCTTGTGGATTAGACCTTTAGGTAAAAGACTCGGGGTATGGCTCCTCAAAAAAATCCACCTACTTCGGTTTGGGCGCCTGGGCAATATCCCATACAAATCATGTGATTTATGTGGGGCATATATATTTGATGCCTCCTGGTACCGATGCTTATGTGTTTAAATAAATAAATAATAAAATGCATTAATTAGTTGTGTTGATTGTAGAACGACAAGTTTTATGGTGATTGATCGATTTGTAAAATTTTCGTTACAAATCATCATATGAAGAACTAACAAAAATGAGGGACCATCTCATTACTATTTCTTCTTAGTAGGATACTTCATAATAGAATTCACTAAAGATCACATCAGGAATCAAACTCACCACAACGGCTGAGTTACATTCAAAACATGTAGCTAACATTGAATGCTTCATATTACTAATCTCAGTCAGCTCTTCATGATGAGTTATTATCATTCATTGACAGTTTTAGTAACTGTCTTTATATTCCCAGCATGAATGAACTCCACTAATCACGAAATTTCACTGGGAATTTAATAATTACTAGATTCAGTATTAAACAATCATTAAGTTAATCATTGATAAACTTTTCTGTAGAGCATTCATCATTCTCTCGAGCAAGTACTCGCCTTTGAAATATCTGGTTACAATAGCCACTAACAATTATTAATGTATACTTAAATGACAAAAATATTTCCATCATGCAAACATAATATTTACTTTGTAGTATTTATTCATATTAAATTACTTGTTTGTATTTGTTTTCGTAAAGCTATTTTTTATGATACCATATTGACGATTGTTTTACTATTTTTAGTATTATTTACTTACTAGTTGTTAGTTGATTTAATAAAAATTAATTAAATACATTTATTGACATAGGTTCACATAAGAAAATAAAGTAAATATATCACTAAATGAGTACTTGTTTTATAAGTCTATAAAAAGTAAGTGAATATGATTTGCACTTATTAAGATGATCAAAGTCTATTCGTTCTTAAATATGGTTGATACTCAACAATGTACGCGTACAATTATACATGCAACTAGAAAGATGCAATCAAAAAGCAATATAAATCTGGGGATTGATAAATATTATGACACCGTTATTACATATTATTATGAATTTATCTTTTCAACTAAAACCAAAACAGTTAGAACGTTATGATGAGGAAAACACATATCCACTGCAGTTTAACTTAAGGTAACGACATTTTTACAACCACTGAAGACAGTGAGAAATAGTTATGTAATACCGAGGGTTGATTGAAGTAAGACTTCAACACCAATGGAGGCTAATTATATGGTCTAGAGGTTATACGTCTGCACGCAAGATCGAACATTATGCGTTTACCACCTAGACACAGGGTTATCAATGCGCACTGCTGAGGAATCCGATGCTAGGACGAAACAGCCATCTGGTACTCCCAGATTTTCAATGATTATCTAACTTAGGTCAGTTCGTATTTCCAAAATATATATATGGAATTAGTTGTACACACAGTGATAGATTCAAAACAAATAAACCGAGTAACATAATAAATAAATATTAATTGAATAATGTGAATAATATGTAAACTTTATTCAAAATTAGGAACATTTGTTTTATCCTATTATAGATTTTTGCGGTTGAACTCTAAACAATGGCTTGTGCACATCCTCAAATGATTCGATATAGCCTTTTTCATAGTATTGTAGTTATCAGTAAAATCGTGGACTGAATCTCAACAATAGGAAAATAAAATCATTAACTAATCATAAATATTATCTCAGTCGAACATATTATTGGCTATCAGAAATCAACAGCTTAAAAATAAGGTGTTTCTACTTGAAGTAATAAGCGACGATTTCAAAGGTGATTATGCATATCAACACTAGAATCTAAGGTTGTTATCATTAGTGGTCTTTAAAAGTTCCATTATCCAATCATAATTGTTCTATAATGCAATGTCTTCATGGAAACACCAATTAATAAATTAAGAAATATGGTAATAGCTTTGTATTTTCTAAATGCCATAACTAATTAAAGTTTTGTCTCTTTTACATAGAACATTCTAAGTAGAAGATTTTGAGAAACTCAAGGCATAATCTAATAGTAAGGTTACTTTTAATATAAAAAAGAGTAAGCAAAAATATGTTAGTACCAGAAAATATACGAGAGGATACAAAACTCGAAAGCGACAAATTAGTAATTAAGGCTCTTGATTTCTTAACAGTTTATTACAACTTCGAGCACATTACCGTCTATTTCAGCTGAAATAACCTCTTATCTTAAAAGCATAGATCCAAATAACGCATACTGATTTTACTTGATATGGAAGTTATATAAATTATTATTTAATTAGCTTCAAGCAACTCAAATTTCGTGTAATTCATTGACAAACTGTTTACGAAGATTTGAGAGTAATTTAATTTAAAAAAATGGAATTTTTAAGAAAAGATCTATAATTGAAATTGAATACACTTAATACCAATGTACTCCACATATATAATAATAAATGACATTGTAAGATGATGAGATAATCTTTGTAAGTAGAATGTATTTGTATATTCACAGAGAATGAATTTGAAGCAAATCCAACGTTTCACTTTTCAGTCAGCTACAACGTAGGACCAGGCATATATATGCATCGGTACAAGTTGCCATACCGCATTATCACGAGATGAACACTGGATTCATAGAAGTACTTAATTCAATGGCGCTAATATAAAAGAAATATTGCATACAAGGACGTAGTACAGGAAGAAAGATTTAGTACGTAGATAAAGATATAAAGCAATCTTAATCTCATAGTTTAAAAAAAAGACAAAGAATGTATACACCGACACCTTAGTGGTCGATTCTGAGCCATGTCACCTAGAGTCTCCAAACATTGGTTACGATAGTCGCGCGGGCTCAAACAACCTACATGGATAAGACTAGAAATTAGTGACTTCAAGCACTAATGCCGCGTTTTGATTTGGCCGCCCCTAACTTTATTCCAACCATCACCGAGACTAGTCAGCATTGAGCGTCGTGGTAATCGGTGTTCAGGCATACCTCAGAAGTGCATAAACTTTGTGAAGGCTCTTTACTCGTACACTAGTAGTCGAGTCACAGCTTATCGCGAATTGTCATCTGCTTTTGCAACATCAAGTTGTGTCCGTCAAGGCTGTCCACTTTCTCCGTTTTAAGTTGACTTCATCATAGACATATTGATGGAAATAGCGTCCTCGTCGACTGGATTTTCGGGCATTGTTCTCCTTTCAGGAGGTACACCTATCGACTTAGAATACGCAGATGATATAGTCCTGTTTAGTGAAGACGCTGATAAAATGTAGAGTGATTTGGTGACACTGAGCAACTATACCAGGATGTTTGAAATGCGTTTCTCCCCCTCTAAATGCAAGTTGTTGCTTCAGGACTGGCCTGCGTCAACACCTGAACTAAGGATAAGGAATGAAGAAGTCGAACGCGCTTGAAATTAGCGTTTGCTAAAAATAAACGATTGTCTGAGCAGTTGCGGCAGACGATCACCATTATCTGTTTGCTGAGCTGAGATACCAAAATATCCACCTAAAGGTTTTCCCGTTTGGTTTAAGCTACCTACCAGGATATTAAAGTAACCTGTTACGAGTACTATGTCTGAGCGTTTAGCTTTTTAAAGAAGTTCAGAAAGCTTTCTGTAAAAGTCATCTTTCACTTAATCCGGGCTTAAGTCAGTGGCAGCGTAGGCAGAAACAACGAATAGACAACGACGTGTGTCCTTACGAAGCCGTTTAGCCGAACAGCAATTAGACGACTGTATTCATCCTAATAGTGTTTGTTCTGCCCTCGTACATAATGCTATGACTACACCTGCCAGTTCACGAGAACGAGCTATCAGGTTGCCAGATACACGGAGGGTGTATCTCGTCGGCTCTCCGTTTTAGCGAGGTGAGGTCAAGTGGATGACCACACTAAGATCCTGTATGCGTGTTTCGGAGACACAGCATACATCAATAGTACCAGTTCCTAGAATCTGAGCCAAGCAGGTCTGCTGACCGATTTTACATAGGGCGCATACGTTAGAGGCTCCAATGTGTAGTTTGGAGCGATATTTCAGTAGACTTGGGAGTATTTGCGCACTAGAATCGTTGGACATAGTGACACTTGGGGAGGAAGCCAAGAGTGGAAGTTTAGTGTTGAAGGTTGATTTAGGAAGAATAATAGGAATTGAAGAGGGAGGCTGATTATGAATACAGTGATCTTGAGTGCTGTTAGAGGTATGAGGGCGGTTATCACCTCCCGGTTGCCCACACCGTAGAAGGGTTCTTCTAGAGGTACCTGAAATCGAAATTGAATAAGAGATGGTCTTAGTGACCTGAGAGCATGAACACAGTGCCCATGGGACAACTGCACGTGGCCGGTCACAGACGACCTTTTTGTGAGTAATTTTCGTATTATCTCCGTGCTTGTTAGGACCTGACAACCGGAGATGGGAATCTGTAAGATAAAATGAGGTGTGGAGTTTTAAAGCCGAACTTCTGTAGCCCACCCCTACTCGTGGGGAGGCAACATTGCTGTTATGCTGGTTGTCTGAAGGAAACGCCTTACTTCTATCACACCTCTGTACAGTCAGAAGTACGACTTTGCCCTCAGACCTTGAATTTGTTGCTTTTAGTCTCACCGTTCTTCAATCGATCTGTCTAGCATGGTAGGACCTTGAGAAACGATCGTTCCAAGCAGTATAGCTCGACCGGTTCATCACGATGGGCATGCCAGACCACTACGTCAAGATAGCAACAACGGTTGGGACGTTTCACTTGGCAATCTGGCGTTTGACCATATTTCCTTGAAAACGCTTGGACTATATTGCCGAATGAAACGTTGGATTTTCCTCAAATTTTTTCGCTGACATTTTACAAATACACTCCTCTTTAATTTCTTACACTAATTCGGTGCCAGATACTGTGAAACTATTCGTTTAAAGTTAATCGAAAGTTCTCACAAATATTTGTAGGTAATTGGTTTTTGTCTATAGGAAATTCAAATGTTCGTTGTAGTCGCAAGAGTGCTAGTTTATAATAAACATGATGTTATCGTAGAAATGATGGATAGTTTTCTCATACTTTGTATTATCAAACTATAAAAAATTAGTTAAATTATTTATTCACCTATAAATATGTGTCACGAGTTAACCTGTCAGATATTAATTACGAACAATTATAATAATTTTTCTGTCACATAATACAGATACACATTCGTCCTCACATATATTTTTAATTAAATTAATAATAGTTACTATATAGACCTATTACAGTATTGATTGTAATAGTAAAGTGTAACATAAATTCAAATTGATAAGAGATTTTTGTCAAAATTGTAAAATTAGAGCAAATTAACTAAATAAATGAAAATATAGATAAAAGTGGATGTCGTATTATATTTAATGTCAATTAATTGGAGACAATCAAGAGAAAGTCATGGATGTAGGTTAAACTTTGTTAAGTATCATATATATTCCACCACGAGAACTAGAATCCTAAATATAACCTCGGCTTACTCAATAATATGACTAAACTTTGCTGTGTAATGTTAACTAGTACGGAATCTATGTCAAACAAGAACTTCTATCGACTACATTCAACTAACCAACTAATTAGAATTTAAAAAGTACTCAATTAGATAGTCAAAAAATATTTAACATATTTTGTTGTTTAGTTTTTGAAGATTTTTATTGTATCAATTTTTAAAAAAAGGTAATTTTCTATATATATCTTTAAATTTCTTAACTTATATAAGGTTAGGTAACCATGGTGTCTTCAGTTACAGAATGTGTTTATCGTCATAATGAGCGATTGTGATAGTATCAAAATACTCTATCAGCAATTTTAAATAATAAATGAACAAAACTAGTTTCAAGTTAAAATTGGCTTGTCTTAAATCTATCGATTATTTTTCTTTTAACCTGTGCAAATATATCATAGTGTTTAGGTATATTTAGTTGATACTTTGTTTCCTTTATTAAATTATATTATGTATAGAAATTACAATAAATCAAAGTGACAGTTGAGGTTTCACCAAGAGAAAAAAAAGAACGAGCACTAAACAAATATTTCATCATAGAATGGAAGCTTTCAGTTGTGTACATCCACGATGGCACCGAAAATTAAAATTAAGATCCATTTAAGCCTCATAGATTAGAAAGTCAAGACTTCATATTTTCAGTTTTAATTAATTCTTCATGAAACAAAAAAATCTCTTTTAGCAGGTTTGTTAATAGAATACAGTTTTAAAAAACTCAAACAGAACAAAACAACTATTCAATGATACCTAGTTTTTTTAACTGTATTTATCAACTGATTAAATTTTGTGATGAATATCAACGAAAAAATTTTTTTAAGAAAAATACACAATCTGTACCATTGCTCGTTGACACTTGTTTCTATGTTAACTAAATAAAATCATAACAATAAATAAACTATTCAATTGATAATTATTTAGTTATGAACTTTGTGTCATTCGAAATGAAAACATAAATAAAAAAGTCTAAGCATAAATTTTGAAAATCTGTATCATATTTATTTTCAGATAGTACAATATCACCACATTCTAACATTGAGCTAATTTTAGATTAATTACTACACAGTAGCCATGGTAATTGACCAGTTATAAATGCTTATATAGTTTTTTATGGAAGTTTATTTGTTACATGTAAGTTGATCAGTGGGCAACTTATTATGGTGATCATATATCCAGCCTAATGACTCGGTATTAATTGCTGCGATTAATCATTAACGATATTGTAATTCAAAATTGAATAGATAAAAAATCTCTGTTCAATATGATTAAAGAATTATGAATGTCAACAATCGATTTTTTCTTGTCTCTAGGTAAGGTCAAATCGTGATAAATCCTAGAATTAGAACAACTATGCTCTCATAGAAAACACTTATCAATTACTCGCTTGTTGGTTAACATCCAAATGAATTCGAAAATTTTAGGTGAAGAATTATACATAATCTAAATATTTAATGTAACATTGGTGTAAAGTATTCGATTTCAATTGTGCTACTTAATTTGGTTATTTGAACATAAAGGAGCTTCCTCCACTAAAGGTTAAGTGCACTTCATAAGTAATCATTCAATCAGGCGATAAGTTGACGTCATAAACAGTGCTGATCAGTATATAAATAAAATTACTTCAATCACTGCTTCACGAATACGTCTTCCAGACATTGTGGTAAATTCACCAGGTAAGGCAACAATTAAAAGAGATCCAATCGATACAATTTGAGTTTCAACAATAGACGGTTGCCAAGGATAAGGAGCATTCATCTACAAAGCATAATAAAAAAGTTCAATTGTTAATTTCACAAGGTCTAAGAACATAGTGTACAGGGTAAACAGATTGTAATATGTAGTATATTAATATGTTGATGTTTAGAGGGACGAAAAAAGTAATTTCAAGATAGCATTTCGAAATTCTAATACTATTATTATCACTATTATTACTACTATTTTTATTAAAGCTTCTAAGTAAGAAACGTCAACAACCTTAGAGTGACTTTCATAAATTCAAAATATTCAAATCTTTTCAGACAGTACTGAAATGCGTTCAAACCAACAGTTTATTCATCTTGACAGAGTAAAAAACGTATTGCTATAACTTACATAATATAATTCCTTTACAAATACTGACGACTTAATATAAAAAATGAGTCAAGAAATCTTGTAGCATTTTGTGTAAACTACGCTACAAAGCGTCTTACTTTCACAAATTAAGCAAATATTTAACCTTGTTCTTATCTTCTAATAACAGGAAGAGACGCTGGAAGTGGATAGGTATACAATACGGAAATCACCAAACTGCTTCACTAAGTGAGCCCTAACTTGGAATCCTAAAGAGAAACGGAGAAGAAGGCTAAATAACACACTTTGCCAGGAATCGAAATCAGATATCAGAAGAGTGAATAGAAACTAGAAACAACTGAAAAGGACAGTGTTGTATGGAGAATGCCGATGGGTGGCCTTTGCACCTTCACAAGGAGTAACAGGCATAAGTAAGTAATATAAGATTTCACAAATAATTCACTTACTTCACCGGTAGCAAGAAGAATTGGTTTTGGAGCTTGACACTTAATCAATTTTTCACTTGGTGCTTTAACAAGATTTCGAACAATCCGCCAAAATAAACTACCATGTGTAATACCTTTTGAAACAATTATTAAAAGATTTTTAAATTATAAGTACATTGGAGATACCTTGAATAAAATCAAAATCTCCTGGACCATCAGTTGTACCAGCAGCAAAACTAAAACCCATGGCTGGTTCACATGTATGACCTGAATAATTCTTTAAATTGATTAAATATGTTAAAATTACTATAAAATCGACAGCTTACTTTATAATTTAAACTTATATTTGTCATGTCGATAAATTGATGAATAAAGTTAATAGGTCCATTTATCTCAGTAGTAGCATTATTAAACAATAACTGGACAAAGAAAAGAATACGGTAAAACATAGAGAGTAATTATCTTAACAAACCCATGCTTTTTCAAATTGCTTATATGCAATTATTTTTGTACTTTCAAACATATCTGAACCAGGACCGTATGCAATACAATTTTGTGCCTAAATTAAATTAATTATAATTCTTGTTTATTATTGATTGGCTTACACGACCACCACAACTACTATGTACAAAATCACATGGTAAACCAGTGTCAATACAACGTGGACCAGCAGTATTTGGTGAAACATCACCTTCATTAGCTTGAGCGAATGCAGCAACAAATGGACCCTTTTGAAATATATAAATCAATAAGAAAAGCAAGAAAAGAAAATAAACTAGAGAAGTTATTTTTTATGAAAATCAATTTATAAATTACAGTTATAAAATAGAACAGTCAGATTGTTAGACATTTATTTCTAGATTGGTCGTGATTGTCAACAATACTGTGAATTAACACCTTATAAAATCAACCTAACTAACAGTACTGAAAATAAATTTGTCTGTTATCATGGTGTTTATACCAAATATGTACAATGGTAAATGTATTCAATGATGATGGCTACTTGCATTAAACAATGATATTATTATTCAAATATTTTATATTTAATACATTAACTTAATAAATCTTCGGAAAATGTACATAACATTTTGTGATTTGATAAACATAAATCAACCGATAACATTGGTAAGTGTTTAGTTACACTGAAAGGTAATCTTCAAAATAATTATATAAAGACGTAACAGTATAATATATGAAAAACTACAATTTTATAGAAAATCAGGCAAATATTATACATCAGTAAAGGTTGTAAAGATTGTTGAGTTTTATTTGATATAATGGATTAGATTGGTTGAAGTTAGACATTCACAACGTCGAATATCGGTTAAGTGGTCAGGAGGTTATGTCTTCGCGCTCGAGATCAAAGGTCCTGGGTTTGAGCTCCGCATGTGGGATCGCTGATACGCACTACTGAAGAGTCCAATACTAGGATGAAGTGGGTACCCAGTGCTTTCAGGTTTTTATTGGTAATCTAACATTGATCGGTTCATGATTTCAAATTTATAATATGTTATATGTTTAGATAGGTAATTATAGGGTAATGAAATTCTAAAAAATTGAATTATTTACTATCCTTTTTCGTGCCGAGAAAGGTTTTTGGAATTATTTGATAACTGGAAGTAATTATGAGGAATTATTACTTGATAACCGTTCTATGTTTGTTGACACTAATTAGTAGGATACATCGGTATATCTAAGGGAAACTACTCTCCTTTAGGGAATCTGAAACTACCTAATCAGATAAGTTGATTTAACATTATCGTATTTAATCTTTAATGGATTGCCTGTATCTAATGGAATTATTTACACTCAGCAGATACTTATCGATATCAATATGATCAATCTAAAGAAGAGTTATTAGCAAAAATTTGTTCTCTTCATTATGGTTCATATTATATCTGAGGATTCTTGAGAAATGACCGACGATAGCGCTACGTGCGTTAGAAATAGGGCAAAAGATCAACCCTGAAGGTACCAAAATGCTTCAGAAAGGTTTTGTCACTTATAAAGAAAAATCGACAGCAGAAGTGCTGTATATATGGACTAATACAAACAGCTTGAACAGAAAGGATGGTATTCAATTTGCAACTAATTGGCAGTTATCCATTGGAAAGTAATTGGACCCTTTCTCTATCCAGCCTGATTATTTCACATGTATCGTTATTCTGAAAAAATTAATCTGGAATATTTTAGCAATACAATTATGTATTCGATGATTCCTATTTTACATGCGCATCGACGATTCAAAAACTATTTCAACATTCAACTTGCGCTTTTGTTTTTATTTTTACTTTATATAAGAGTAAATTATACCTAATATCGACTATTAATAACTCAATCTTACACATACACACACATTTCATTCATTCATTTATTTTTACAATGTGAACTTTTCACATGACTGACCTAAGTTATCCTTCATACTGAAATCAACATCTAAATATGATTGGATAGGCATAGTAAAAATTTCATTTGATCATTAAATACTATATATTTCTTTGTTAATTTTGATTTCAATTATTACCCTAAAGAAGTTTGGACAAGTTTGCTGGACGAAACGATGTAATTAGTTAAATTCCAATCACATATGTCTTCATCTAATTTTTTGTAAATGAATTCAGATATTTTGAGTAAATTGAGTAAATGAAAAACAAAAATTCACTTGACAATTTAATCAGCTGAATAAGAGAGAGAGAAATTATCTAATTTTTTTCAAAATTTAAACCAAAAATATTATATTCTTTTTAACATTAAAAAAACACAAATGAATAAAGATTTTATATGACTAGGGTTTCCTGGTTTGGACGATAGTACTATAATGATTCAATACAGTCGAAGTTTTATACAAGAATCAAGTGGTTATCCAATGATTCTCATCCATTTTTAGTAGTTATGTATCTAGGAATAGTTTATGATGCGAACAATGAAATTATAAATATCAGATTATCAGAAAACTTAAGGAAACACAGCTAACTTGTGTGAAAACAGTTTAGTTTATTGTAAAAGTTTAAAGTTATTCAAATTATTTTACTGAAAAATATTGCGGAAAAAATTATATTACTAGTTAAGAAAAATATTTACTAACCTGTTAAAATAAAAATTAATATAATAGTTTATTTAATATTATTTGATGGAAAATATTTAAACAAAAAAATAATCACCATGGCAATGACTAACTTTTCCTAACATTTGATTATGATTCATTTTTTGTTCAAATAAAATTGATGCTAATCCTTTATTATCACTGCTAACTAAAGTATTCGTAGAATTCATACTGACTGCATGTACAGCAAACCAATTAATCATTCCGATTGGTGTATTATTCATTGTAACAAATTTTAATAAAATCATATTTTTATCTATATTTTCACCATACCTACAAGAGAATTTTTTATTAAAAAAAAAAGATCAAAAAATAGTCTAAGAATACAGTTTTGTAATAATGCGTCGAAGTGAAATGTAAAACATGTGTTTCCTTTTATTTTCAGACTTCTTATACAGAACCAATGATATCCAAAAGTTAATACACATGATGAACAGAGTATCAAGGTACCCGATTCAAAGTTTATAAACCAAGACAGAGACTGATTATCTCAGCTCTTAATAATAACAAACGTTTAGAAATTAAAATAATCTATAACCGGAAGAATAAATAACTGAGTGATTCAAAGTAGTTTTATTTATAACTGCTATCTTGTCATGGTGGTTGAGTTTCTCTATCATGATGACCCAGTTGAGCTGTATTGACTGGTATGTTTGTTTTTTTAGACTCTATCACAACAACCAGGTCGGTTGGGGAGTGACATCACCGAAAATAACAAACTCGTGATCGAACGGTGAATTTGTACTGCCAACTGTATTTAAATGTGACATCAATTTGCTGTTACTCCCAAGCCAAACAATATATTTCAAGATGCTATCTTCCAAAGATGGAAAGAATTTATAAAAGGTGAGCTCTGAAAATACAACGCCTCACCTTGTCCTAAGGATTTAATTTGCTGATGTTTTAATTACAAAGTTAACATATCCGAAACTATGAGAAAATAACTATGTATGACCAGCCTCAAGAAGTTGTTAACTTCCTAAGTTACCATGACCACTATCAATCGAGTTTCTTTTACAGACACCTCAATAAGTATCTTTTTATTGTGTGGCCAACCAAAAAATGAAAACAGTACTTGAAATCATCTTAGTAATGTATGTTCTCACTATGAAAAATCAATTTGAGTTAGAGATGACGAGTAATATATATAAGATATCTGTAGACATTAAAATAAGGAATTGTAATAGGTTAATTGGTAACTGATTTTCTATTCAGTCTGAGAAACAATTTTGATTTCATTTTAAACAAAATTTATGTACAAATTATGAATTAATTATGTTAAAAATTATCATAGAATTTGTTTTTACATTTAAAAAGAATAAATATCTTCAATATATTGACAAAATTTAATACATCAATTAAAATATGTTTTATAAACAAAAAATAATAATAAAAATATTTATTCTGAAAACGACATATTACTGATTTACTAATATTCAAGAAAATATGATTATTAATATGATACAATTTAAACTATATTATCTTTGATTTCTAATGATTATCTAAGAATATTATAAGAATTCTAAACGAAGACATTTTATGTTGACTTGCAAATCAAACAAACAAATGGTAACATAAAATAAATCAATATCAGGACCTAATATGTCAATAGCGAATTATTAATTTTTTATTCCTTTTACTGTTATTTTGGTTAATATTATCAGTTACTTAATATGTGGATAACATAATTTTTAAAGATCATATGTGATATACGTTTAACAATTTCATCAGTCAGTGAAACTTGCATCAATAGAATGTATTGCATAATTCTAAAATTATTCACCCACAGTACTTTCTGATATTTAATAAAAGAATTGAATTAATATAAAGTGTAAATTGAAGTAAAATAATTTGTTTAACATTTTACTAACTATCGAAATTTCTTTTTTATTAGCCCTCAAATGCCCTGGTACGGCCGAGAGTGGGAAGAGTCCGCTCTCCCTCGAAAAATGTTCTCACATGGCCACGCGTATATAGCTTCTGTCAGGGAAGTCCTACTCACCACCTCCTCGCACCACGGGTGTCGTTTACGAAATAAAGGGGACGAAAAGTGAATATCCGGCGCTTTAACCGGTTTGGTGGATACGGAGAGTCCACCTAGGGGATATAGAAAACCCGAATTCCAAACCACTGGTGCACATGGGCCCCAGTATCCTGGGGGAACAAATGGCGTATGAACTAATTCTTGGTCACCAGCTACCATGAGACTGTATCTATTTACGTTACTCCACTGTCTTGTGGATCAGAGCCATATGTCAAAGGCTCCGGGTGTGGCCCCTTAAGAAAACCACCTGCTTCGGTTTGGGCATCCGGGCAGTATAACAGCTTTCACATAAATCAAATGAGATTTGTGTGGCGCATATGTATCTGGTGCCCTCTTGTGTTCAAATAAATAAATAATAAATCTTTTTATTAAATCTAATAAACGTAGTTATTCAACGCTTTCATTAAAAATTTAAAAGTGTTTTACTAGTTTCCTATTATTTTTCTAATAATAACTATATCAACTAAACTGAAATAATAAAAGAAATATATCACACTTAATAGAAATGATAATTATTAGTCATTAGTTATTATTTTTTATTATTTACAAATAATCTTTATTCATAAAATGTTAGATGTTATTAAATGAGATCATCATTAACTAGGATATGAAAACCGTTCAACGATTTGTCACAAAATGAGTTGAAATAAAATAAATATACTACTCAATATTTTATATTACGTAAAATCTCATTAATACTATTATTATTATTATCGCTTCATTAACTGTAACTTTTACAACTGAATAAAAGCGACTTTAATATTCGATGTTTAAAAAATGATAAGAAGAAGACCGCTTCCTTTTCTTAGAAGTGTCTATGCACGTTCTTTCTTGAATGATATAAGAAATTGATATATTTATCATAGATTATCTATAATGCATGATAGAAATAAAAATTAATTAACATTTTTTAGACGCTATTATTGCCGTTTATTCATTTTGCATTAATTTAATATGTTATCAATATGGGCGTTTGTGGAGACTGTAGTATTTTCACAGTTAAAATCACGAATTGATCTAAGTTAGACCATCATTGATAACCTGAAAGCATTGGGTCGTATTTTTGGTCCTAGTATGAGACTCCTCAAAAGAGCGCGTTGAAGATCTAGCATGCGAACTGGCCATCCAATGCTTATAGATTTTCAATGGTGATCTAGCTAAGGCCGAATCGTGATTTTTCAATGTCTCAACATATTATATTCAAATTACTTAGAATTGATCGTTCACAGAGAAATTATACTGTATCAGTATTTCATTGCATAAACCTATTATGATTTAATAAGTGGCTTCATCTAGCAAAGCTTAAACTGGTGAATAGTATTACCTACTCCGACATATAAAAGTGTTGGTAAGATCTAAACGAGTTAACCTTCACATTGTAAGCTACGTAAACTGACTGATTCTATGGGGATGATATGTTCTGCACGTAAGATTATGTAGATGATGACAATCAAAACAAGCCACCTTGTTTAGTTTAAGTGTTTATTGACAGTTACCTGAAAGATAGATTTGTAACAATGACGAAGATAAGTCACACACAAACAGACAAAATTATATTATTAAATCAATAAAAATATTATTAGGGTTTTTATTTCCCAATATTCTTCCTAAAAATTGACATTCCGTTCCTCTAGTCTTCAGTGGAGATCAAACTCTGTAAATTATAAAATATAATATGTTTACTTATCCAGCCAATCAGATCATGATGTAGTTCGGTCGATATTCAATAACTAAAATCGAAAGAGAGAAGATTCTAACTGACCTGGTTATTTTGTTTATTATGATTGATTAAAATTATAGTACCAAGCCTAGCCCAATTATAATGAATGCAACGCATGGCTAACTAATGGAGTCTAGTCATAAACGAGAACCCGTTACACACTATAAAAGTAATGGAGACTCACCGAGCTTGTTCTTCTACTGGATTCTTTAAATAAGCCGCTGGACTACGATTGATACTAGCATTATGTAAATCCCCTTCAGCTTTTAATATTTTTCCTTCTTTCATATTAGAATAAGCTAAATCAATACTCTGAAAAAAAATCCACCCGAATAAAATGTAAATACAGGCTACAAATTTCAATTGCTTTAGTTTCAAATTGCAATACATCAAATAAACAAATAAAAAAAAGTTTTCATAAGATAATTTTAAACATAATATTTTCATTTTGCTACATTTGAGTTGCGGTCGCTAGTATTGGAACCCAGAAAGACAATTTCGTTCTATTTGAGATGGAATTAATGATCATGATAGCGATGACACAAGTAGGATTATATGCATTTTAATGTTTCTAGGCCTTATATTGAGCCTTATTTCGACAATATAGTTAAAGTTATAGATGACTTCAACTATGATTCTGGTTCTAATGTCTCACTGAGTACATGAATCAGCCGACATGGAACTTATTGGGAAATGATTTTACTAAACACGATAATAAATCAACGATTTTCCTTATGATTTATATGTGGATTTAACATATTTCTGAATATTAAAAACACATAAATTTGCAAGTTCATTAATAACAACTGATGTCCAATAAATACTATACACGTTGCTTTAGTAGTGTATGCGGTTGCAAAGTACTTGATTGCGTTGTACACAATCATTGTTGGGTGACATGGCTTAAATCCATTCACTCTTTGCTTTTCCTTAGATCTTGGATTTTAAAACTATACCTTTTTGTTTCGCGAGTTATATTGTCTATGCCTAATGTTTTATTTACCACTGATACCTTTACTGCTTCTAATGTTCAAGTATTTTTGTCTTGATAATTTCATAGGTTTGAGCTGATATTTCTTAAAAACTTAAAACTCTAGGATAATAACATGATAATACAATACAATACAAAAATTACTCAGACGGTTATGTAAGAAGTGTACATTTATTTCATTTATGTTCATGGGCTCTATCATACGTGTTACGCAAACATAATAATTATGTACATCGATTGACCACTGAGTATCAATCACTGTCATAATGACCTAGTCCTTAATGCTAATTAAATTGCGTTGTTTCAGTTGTAACGTGTTTACCAGTCTAAGCGACTTAGAACCATGTGAACTTTGCATGACTACTGGGTGACTGGGAACAATTGTAAGGAACCTCTACATCGAGGTTTTGTGCTAGCTGGCATGTGTTAGTAAAACACACCTGCATTCATAAAAGAAGTAATATTCCCTGTGCGAGTTGAATCCATGGGGAGCATCACTCTCAACGAAACTACAGATATCTCATACTGATGGAAATCAACAAGCACGAAGCCTAACTCTACCTAGGCTTTTTGACGACCATCTTCAATCAACCTAAGTAACTATCCTCATCAATTAATTTATAAGACACTATTGTATCAGACGTTTAAAGATAGCTCTTAAAAAGATATTTGTTTGTGAGGCATTTATTCACTGAAGGCAATGATGGACGGTGGGGCAACATCTTGGGTTGGTTGAAGTTAGACATTAACACTGTTAGATGCTACGGGTTCAGCGTTCGCGCGCGAGATCGAAAGTCCTGAAGTTGAGTCTCGCGTGTGGGATCGTGGATGCGCACTGATGAGTCCCATACTAGAACCAAACGACCGTTCATTGCTTCCAGGTTAACAATAGTAGTCTAGTTTTAATCGGCTCATGAACTCAACTATTAACTTACTACAATCTCCACAACCCCCTACATATGATTAAAGATAAAAGCATTTTTTATATACCTTAACAATTCCTTCAACTAATGGTTGAAATGTTTCAGGAACGTATCCAAGAGACGTAAATGAATATAGAACATATTGTAAATAACCAGCAGGACCGGAATGAGTATGTGTTGCACTAATTAAAACATTTTGATGTGTAAATAACCCATTTTCGTATCGACTTTTCAAATTATCGATGACCTAAAATCGATATTTTTGTTTGAGAAAGAGAAAAATGATTCATTGAAATGATTAGAATCAATGTGAAAATAAACGGACAGATTTAAAAGTACGAAATGTAAAAACGATTTTCATCATGAATTAGTGCTAGGTGGGTCCCTTTGGAAAATTAGTGAATACTGAACGCTATTATTATCTTGATTTGAAAATTCAACACAGTGACCCTTCCTCTTACAGAATCAAACTAATGGCTAACATATCTTACTTAGAGCATGATACCATTCAGTTACTCAGTCAAAACTCAATGATTTATGTTTTTAACTTCAATTCACTTGCAGTACATCTGGATCCTTTATTCAATTTTATCGGTGACTTCGCTTATGATTCTATAACTTTCTAGGTTACAGCTTAATCTGGAACTTTTATTCATGACTGAATTTACTAACCCAGAAACTCGAAGTAAATAAGTGACGGATTGTGGAGCATAGTATTATTTCAAAAATTAAAACTCTATAATTTGAGAATGATCTACTACAGATAATACTGTAGTTTTACACACAGTTCAAAAATTGAATATTTAAATGAGTGTTGATAATTAAATAAATGATAATGAAGTGATTCGAATATTATTTTTTAATGACAATTTTCCGATAATAGTTTACAATTTCATTGCTATGTTGTATGTAGTGAATGTATTTCGAAAACTGCTTATATTGCAATGTTAGCATGTATAAAGTTTGAAGATTTAAAAAGGATTTATATCTCCGAGAAATCGGTATGGGGTATCTGTTCATTGAGAAAACATACGTAAAAATATTAAGTGATCCAGCCAACAAAGCAATAAATAGTAAGGAAATATGTATTTATTCCAAATGAGAAAAGATCACCCCTCAATCTAAAATATAACACGGTAGAAATAGGTCGATTATATTGGAAATTCCTGGGAGGTCCCAAAACTAATGATATAGAACTTTAAAAATAACTGGACAGTAAACTAGACCAAAAAACTTTTAATTTTTTGTTGTACAGCAACAAGTAAGATACCCTATGGTTTACAGCGCGGAAGGATTCTAGTCAGACAATCAGTGAAAACCAGAGAAATTTGAATGGCTGTCTCGTACTGGTATGAAACACTACAGTGGTGTGAACCCATGGTTCCACCAGGCATCCAACCTAGGACTTTCAAGCTGATGGGTGGCCTTCGCATCTTCACGAGGAGTAACAAGCGTAAGTAAGTAACTAGGAGCAGTTCGTGAAGTACAATATGAAATTCAACAATTCTCACAACCTCCTTAAGCTAAAAATGCTCTAGATCATTTTCTACAATATTAAGATTATCATAATAATGCCAAAGAAGCATTTTTGCATAATTTTCCAATTACTAAAGCAAAAAAGTACAAAATTAATCATTTGAAGAAAGCATACAGGATAAGATTAAGAATACTATGAAAATTAAATTTAAATGAATTTATTTTTCTCATCTTCATTTATCCAAAAAGTGATCCATTGACCGAGAAAATTAACTGTATTTTCAATCTAAGTGACTAACCATTCGATAAATTCAAAAGAATAGAATAATGTGAATTCATTTGATTTTGTTAGATTGTCATTATAGTTACTTACAAATGGAAGTACCGATGTAATGAAGAACAATTTTACATTAACAAATTATCTAATCTAAATTTGGTATTTACATAAAACAGATTGTAAATAGTTAACTTATACTTAACGAAATAAAAAAAAGTCCAGACTACTCTATTCAAACCATGCTATTCTATAAAAATTAACAAAGGGAATCTAGTTTACTGGTCAACATTGTAAAAATATAATGTTTTTGACTTAAAATTATTACAATCCATTATTTGAGAGAAATTTTTTGACTATAACCGTTTCAAATCAATATAAACAAATGATTTGTTTATAATATTTGGTACATGACTATTTGTAGAAACTAAGAAATCTTTTTGAATCCTATATAAAGCTCACTATCGAAATGTGCTTTCATTCCAGTGTTGATATTTATACTGAAATTTATCTTTAGCATCTTTCGCATCTTTCGCTTCGAATGCTAACGCGTTGTCTATAAAACTATTATGTCTACTACTTTGTCCCATAGGTTCTAAATATCAACAAAAGGTTCGAAAACGAACTTTTACAATTTGAGCCAAATTAATCACAATGTATTGATTTCCAATATTTATTATTTTTATAAAATTTATTATATATATAGACATACTTTAATTTTAACGGCTTGTGATACCATACCAGCATCTATTATAACAATGACAATTGGTTGTGAACTAAAATTCTCTTGAATAATAAATGCACGACTAAATAATCTTAAATGAAGTCCATTATCATTTTGCTTCATATTACCATAGCCCATCTAAAACAAGAAAGTAAATAGAAGAAAGATATTAGTAATAATCACAATAATAATAATGGTAATAATAATAAATGAAATAGTTTTCAGATATGATAGATGACCCAGTAGCATTTAAATTTACATTGTATTCTTGATTCTGTCGAGGTTATTATGTAAACGAACTATACAAGAGATGAAATTATCTTCTAACTTCATACACCTATATTCTCAAAATTTTCATTAAACTCATTAATGATTTTTTTAAAATAAATAGTGTCTTTTATTAAAACAAAAACATATTTGATTATAAAAGATTATAAATATAATTCATATTTGATAAAAAGAAAAGAGAGAGAAGTAAAAATCATAGAATATGCTTATAAAGTTAAGAGTAATTGATTGTGATCAGTAACAAGCTGATGATTGGATTGTGGTAAACTCGTTTTTTTAAAGAAAAGATATCATGATCTAAAAATAAGTAAAAACAAAATGCTAGAAGTTTTTCTTTATACGAATATTCAAGGTTATCTTCTTTGTATTACTATCATTATATCATTAAAAAACAATATAATTCGTGATAATTAATTAAGCTTGTATTTTAAGTAAAAAGGAAAATTATTGAAACGTTGCTTTTTATATAGTATATCACTCAATATCTATTTTTAAAAGCATGGAATTCTCAATCTGAAAATTAGGAAGCACAAGATGATTGTGATTTCCTAGTATGGGAATCTTGCATAGTGGTCATCTACTACTTTGTCAAGGGATCAAAACTGGAAATTTTGGGTTCTGATTTCGATCCAGACCAATGAGTTAACCATAAACTTGGTTCCGTAACTCAATATTGTCATTAAAACAGTGAGTTGTTAACGACTGAATGATATCAGTATTTTGCTACTGCCATGACTGTAATGTACATATTCTTCAACTTAAATAATTCATATAAGTAGATGACTGTCCAGGGTCTCATGCACTGCTTAAATTTGAACATTCAGACGTTATCTGTGGATTTAGTCACTCTTTTTAAGCCTCAAAAATCTCCACAGATAATGATTAAACTATAAATTGAATGGGTTAATGCTGTAAAACGCTAAACGTTTGATTAATATTTAGTAAATTCACAGTACCGAGCTGCTTGTATCACTAAATCTGATCTAATGCAGAATTTAGAGACAGTAGTACTCATGAATCACAAACAATTTAGAGATATATGTTCAGTGTTTTCTTGTTTCTAACAACGCTGAAGCCTATATGAATTTTAGGCTAAAAATTGTCCTTGAAATGATTTAATTTTCCTTGAACGGACTTATTGGGATTTCATCAATTTATCAAAATGATTTTAACCTTTCAACTTTTGTATTTTACTAATTTCACAAAGGCAAATACAACTTATAATAAAAATATAATATGATTTATAATAAACTCTGATGATAATAAAGTACCAATTAATCTATTCTTACCATATTGATATCGGTTATTGGGCCAGTTATGTCATATATTCCGGCTCCAATTAAATAACCATAGATATGTGGTGAAAATAAGAATGACCAGAATATAGAAACAAATGATATGTAAATGTTGAAAAATTCACAAATCACCATTTTAATAAATCGCTGAAAATTAAAGATACAAATTTAAGCGGATATCGTCTAATATATACATTAGTAAATACAGAGTACTCTAAGCTGTCATGTGTTCCTACACTTATTGGTTGGACACATTGACAAGAATAATTTGTGTGTGTATAAGACGCTCTGAATCAGTGATAACATATTTCACACAAATTATCTTAGAAATAATCATCTGAAAGCAAACAAATTCATTCTTCATCTGCTTAAAACATCGTCATTAGTTTTTTTTCACTATTTTGTTTAAAAGTTCAATTTCAAATCGTTTTTTTCTTGACGAAGTTGTTTTTCTAAATATATTTGTGCAAGTTAGCGTACAGAAACTTGTTAAGTGAAAATCAATGGATTATATGGTGAAGAAAAATAGGAATACCAAATAGTAATTATTTACTTATTGTTATAAACTGAGGAAGCATTGGAAATAAGTAAATTCATGAACAATTAATGTCAATTTTTGAGAAAGATTTATTTTTTAAACTAGACGAAACCCTCTAACTCAAAGTAACACCAAAGTTATTAGTTTTATGTTCACCATCAACTAATGTCGAGAATTTCACAAAATTCTAAAGTAAAAGTGATCGGTTAAGTTGATCACTGTTGACAATGAAACAATAAAATGAATATAATTAAGGTACAAAACACAACTTGAGTCGTATGAACCACTGGATCTCGTTTCAGCCCCATCCTTACTATAAAAAACGATCATCTGGTGTTTAAAGTCGTATGTGAGTTTGTGGATGTACAGAGTTCACCAGTCTTGACTTATAATAAAATAGTCTTAGACTACTTGCTTATGTTCTGATAATCTTTCACAGGACTTCTAAGATGAACAAAATAATTGAAGTAATTATTTTAAAATCTAAATTCACATCTCATTTCTAAGATTATTAATTAATTAGGTATTACAAAAATACTATATATTACAAAACTATGCTTCGCATTCAGTAAATATTTAAATCTGAAATATTTTCCGTTGAGAAACAACCTCATTAAACGGCTTTCTTTACAACATAGTCTGGAACTATAAAAAATAATTACTTTACAATGGCCTTCACGGAAAAAAATACAATAGTTTATTTTGAAACGTCTAGTGAAACAAATTAACTTGTTATTATCGGTTAATAAACTCATTATTTACTCGTATTAATAATAATAATAAATGTAGAATAGATATACATCTAAATTTCGTGTAAAAATAATATCCTCTTTCAAAAATAATGCATTAAAGTAACTATTATTAATAGAGAAACAATATTTTGTACTTATTGTTCACCTAATCTTGCTGATAATAATTCAACATTGTCTTTGATCTTGCTACCAATAACTGTGAAATGCTTATAATCTTTGTCTGGCAACAACTGACAGTACACAAAATCTTGCAAATACGAAAATACACATAAATTTAATTAACCACCTAGTTCAGGCCTTGATACATTTTGAGCTATATAGCTAATATTAATACTTAATGAGAAGTATCAGACTCAAACGAAACAGTCATTCAGTTTCTGTAGGTTTGGAATAGTGATAAAAAGCTCATTTCATATTGAAAGTATCAGTAATTCAGTTCGAAGCTCCCAAATCTAATGACGTATACAACGTAAAATCTACAGCAATTAAATTTTTTTTTAATAGCACTATGATGTCCGCAGTTCGTGGTAGAAAATCTTAAAATGCATAATGTAGTGAAAAGTTGGAAAACACGATTGAGGCAACTCATTTAGTATGAAAAACTACCTATGCCTTATAAACGTTCCTGTGGATCAAAAACCACACGATTATTTTCAAGTATCTAAAAACAGGATGAAAAATGTAAGTACAAGGAGATGACAGCACTCAACCAACTAATAACAGATGATTGTAAAAACATTTATACCAGACTATTAATATTGAAAGGCGCGTGATGTTTCTAAACATTCAAACATATTGCATATTCTAAAAATTCGCAAATTCCTGTAGCATTTACATCAAAACAATTTGTCAGATATCTTGTTATGCTCATTTGTATCACTACAACATCTTATCACGAAACAAACTAGAGATCTAATAAATGTTTAAAAAAAGAAGTGGACTTAATTGCTTTGACTGAAGATGCGGCATTCAGAGAAAGTTCTGTCCCCTGTATATAATGACTTAAATTATATTGCTATCAAACTAGGTACGTCAATTTACTGCACGAGGCTACTAACTAATAATTCATGAACCATTTTTTATTATAACAAAGTACGGTTACATCCAAACTCTCCGTAGTATTGTTCAGAGGATATGATTCAATCTAATTTTCAAAATCAATACTAGGATATCACGCATTCTCTCCGATGCATTTTTTCTAGTCTGATGGGACAAAACTCTACTCTGATCAAAAATGTTTCGCATTTGTGCTAATTGACGGATAGAACACAAACAAATAACAAAATTTTATTTAGAATGCTAATTTTTCCTCTATATGCCGCGTTTGTTAATTTGAAAGGATTTTCGGCCATACATCTAACTGTCAAGAAACTGAAAAGAAGAGGAATACCATGCCGTATACCGTTTTTGTCCATAAAATTGCACATGGATCGTAAGGAAGTGTTTGTTGAACACGCTACCTGGAGAAAAGATAAAACCGCATTTTTAAAGCTAGCACTGAGCCTAATTACAACAACTGCAAATACGAAATAGCGTAAGAGGAATCAAGCGTTTTCTAGGTGATAAAAATGATTTGATAGACATCTTTTTGATGAGTCACTGTAAATCAAATAATTTTTTTCGCTCGCCTCCCAGTGTCAAGGTACGCCATGGGGTCTTGGTAGCCTATGAAAAAAGTAACTTATACATCTGGCCGCACTAGTCTTAGTACATTTGACAGTTACATGTAGGTTACTAGATTTATGTAGAAATGAATGAATTTATTCCAAAGCAATAAGATTGTCAGGACCACGAACCATCATGTTACCAAGATGTCAAGTGTTCGGTAGCAATATAGAGACTGTAAAGTAATAATGCAGGTTAAAAGAGCCACATGAGTTCAAGATTGAAAAAATCCAGAAAAAATTGTTTGAATAGAGATTTCTATTCATCCATGGGTAAATGGATTTACAGGAAATAAATCAACTGCAGCAGATACAAAATGTATATTTGGATAAGTCTAAAAAACTCACACCAATGTACAAAATAAGTGAAAATAAAGAGTTGAAAGATGGTCTTACATGGTGTCAAAAGGTATATGAATATATATATTTCGACAGGGAAATTCCAGCCGAATGATGATAATCCGTGGGCGAATTAATGGCCATAGAGCGTTTTTCTAAACGCATGTGATGCAGAAGTTTTATTATTGTTCCAGGTTAGTCACATAGAGACACTAAACTAAAAACACCGAGCAATATATATAACCGAACGTTTTGAGTTACTTTGAGTTATCTTGACACATGTCAGGACGCTAAAGATATCAATAAAATGAACACGTCTAGCTTACATGAGGTGAAACTGAAATTTCAGCAGTTAATGAGGCTTTATAAAAATCCAGAATAAATCATGATTTATGTGCATACTAAGTAATCGAAAAACCGCGGGTTATTGATAGTTCAAGTAACAGACACTAATGATGAAATTAAAAAAAATCAATTTACTATTAAATCAAGCTGTATAATCTTTCATAATTTTGTGAGTATGTCAGTTTCTTATCTTCTTCATTATCCGTTTGCCTACATAAAGGGGACTTGAATTAAGGGAACATATCTTCAATATTTTACAAAATTCGAATTATATGTTCTATTTCACTTTCTCATCTCATTGATCGAAACGAGCTTTATTGAAAACTTATTAAATTGCTGATTGCCTTCATTTATTATCTCCTTTACTTCACTCAAAACAAGATGAGAATTCATTGGGAAAACAGTCTTCCTTTTATGATGATATCCTTTGCTCTTTTTTACCGGCTATTACTTATTTATTTTAGTGTCAGTAGACACATCTTATTTTATCTATAGAAGAGGTGAGAACAGTAGCTGGAATAGGCTTTTGTTCAGATAGAGTAATAGGACCCTAGCGCGCTCTATTTAAAAGGACAGTGGTATTCTTTCTCGTTGAGTAAATTAACTGTTTTGATCGTAAACTACGCATCAAAACTACTGTTTACACTTTAATTGCATCTACCCAAGTTAAAGTGATATTGTATTGAGTTTTTCGGTTTTGCTTCTGTGTATTTATCGCATCGGAGCATACTTGGTTGACTTTTCCTTGGTTTATTTAGTTAAGGTTTGAAAATCCCTTTACACATCCTGTTTTTGTCACCGTTCTAGTTGATTTTCACAATGGCTAGGTCTACTCATAAATGTGGACAACCATACTGCTTATTTCCCGTGGATGAAGGGATGCAATGTGATGAGTGTAATAAGTGGTTCCATAAGCTGTGCACCCGACTAAGCCCCGCTGCATATAAAAGATGTTCAAAGCCCAGCTCTCATTGGCTTTGTAGTTTTGGTTGCTCGAGCAAAACATTGCTTATCCAGGAAGCAATTAGTCTCCTGATGTTGGCTAATAAGAAGTTTGATGAGGGCTGTACTGGCAACATTGGTACTGATGGCGAAGATTGCGTTAGTGTCGTAAATGCTGTCACGGCGCAAGCCAGACATCTAACTGTGCAACCCGCTATTAAACCATCTACCCCGAAACAATCAATGAGTGACACCTCGTTAGGTATTGGTGGCCATGTTGCCACAGTAGTAACCGGTGACCCAGATAAAACAACTACTGTCACGAGTGGTTCTAATGTGGATACTACGACTGATGGAAAATGGATGACGCGAAAACGCAGAAAAGTAGGAAAGACAGCTAAAATTAATGACCGTTTACTTGATAAGTCCTTGGTGGACTCTCAGACCACTCCGCCAAAGTCCCATAGTAAAGCTTCGTCTAACATTGCTGTGAGTCACTCGTTCGACTCCCAGGACTCTGTGACAATAAAAACTAATCGTAAGATACCAGTAGTT